GTGTATTCATACGTTGTTTGTGTTTCAAAATAAATTTAGAATTATGATATCTTCTTTTTTGTTGTTGTTCTCGACATTCCACGTATTCGATAACTCAAGTGCAAGCGAGGAATTTCTGTTTATGTACTCAAATAAACACTTTAATTTTTCAATTTCGTGATTGGAAAACACTTCAAATTTTATTTTTTCAAATGTTGAATTGATTGGAAAACATTCTCTGTGCGTCAGTTAGTAAAAAGATGTACTGAATGGAAACAAATCTGAGATGAAACGAAAATTCTTTTATTTATCTGAGCAAATAAGAAAATCATAGAAATTAGTCCAGTTGTCACTATCACGAATCAGATAATTCATAGAAGATCGTAAAGAGCCTTGTAGAACGTTTTGATGATACTCGGAAAGCCATGAGACAAAACCCCAAAGGATGGCAGCGAACCACGGGAAAATGCGATATGCTGAAAAATCACCACAGAAATGAAACGCTGAATTTGAAATTGAACAAAATCGCTTCCCACTTCGAATTCTTTCTCAATCTCTTCAACAGAGACCTTAATGAGCACCAACAGTGACTACACCGTTCTCACAATTCAATCGTTTCCTCATCGATCAATCAATAGCCAGTATGACTTAAGAATTCTTGCTCAAAAAAAAATTGTTCCATGTGTCAGCTCTGATGTTCATTTTCGAAGATTAATTCTCGACAGCGTTAAAAAATTGTGAATCAAATTGAGAGGAAATGATACTCTCATAAAATTGAACTTACATGGTTCCGGAATGAACTTCTTTTCGACACTCAGCCTTGCTAAACCAATCATTATGCGCGATAACAGGTACAAGTTCACCTAATAATGCATCAATAATTACAGTTCATCATGCGACAAGATGGCACCTGCGCACTCGGCTTCATGAAACCGAAATTGCATACAACTGCTTTATATGATATGTCGCTCTGGAGTAGTTCTTATCATTTGAATATGAATTTTCCTGATGACTTTCCTGGCTGCGAACGATTCTTAGATCACAAAACAGTGCTCAGTGGGCAGTACTGGTGGGACTGCATGAAAATCATTTAGTGGACGTAATTGGGAGAACAGCAATCACCTGCATATTAACACCATTACTGTCACCAAACACAAAGTAACCAACGATAGAGGCGGCCGCAAATGAGTGCCATTCACTTCGACTACCTGAAACTGAACTATTGTTATCATGTCAACAAACAGCATGGCACTCATCTCATTTTCAATCGCCTCAATTGAGCATCCGACCAAATATCATGGAACTATTGGTAGCATAAAACAGTTTGATAGTTTTGATCCAAATCTTCCTTATCCATCACACTTGAACAGGGATTATCTTTACAGATGGGATCAACGAATGAAACTATGAGAAGAGGTGACCGAACCTTGTAATCGTTGAATTAAACCAGTTATA